CCCCCCCCCCCCCTCTTCTGACTGCCCTCTTTGCCTGGCTTGTTCCCCCCACTACCCTCTCATGTCGAAACTTTCGATATTGTTTCGACAGTAGCCTAATTAGATTGTTTGTAAACAGACTGCCAAACCAGTTTTGTGCCACCGAATCCGAGTTCATTGTGTATCCTATCAAAAACGATTGTTTCGTTTTTGGAAAAAACGACCACTCTTTTTTTAAACTTTTAGAAAACGAATAACGATCGTTTTAGAAAACGATCGTTTTTTTAAAAACGATTTCTGACCGTTTTTTATAGGTGTTTTTTTTAAATCGATCGCTTTAAAAAAAAAGATAGTTTTTGAAGTAAAAAATTTTAACGATCGTGAACAAAACAACGAACTTTATAAAAAATTTAAAAAAAAAATTACATGCAACTTTATTGAATGTTGTCTTAGATGAAGTTAAAAAGTTGTGGGTGAGCTAAAACTTCTTGATATTTTCATAAAAACTACTCAATGATAAGTACAGATGCCCTTCAGGTCGGTTTTCTCTCTTTGTTTACGATCTTTAACGAAGGGTCGTCGTCAACGACTGTTAACAAAACAATCGTCTTAAAAAACGACCATTTTTAAAAAACAAACTTTTTGAAAAAACTATCCTTTTTAAAAACAATCGTTTTCATAACGAAACGATCGCTTTTCAAAATAATGAAAACGTTAACATCCCTACCTGTATATCCTTTAAACCTTTAAAGGTTCATGTTGCCTCGTATGGCATATACTGATGTTTATTAGGGGTGCCCAAAGTCTATTGTTCATAAATGATATATGGTCAATTGTTTTCAGTTTGTTAATTAGAAACAAAGACAAGGAAGAGGAAAGAAGACACTACGCAGCAAAATTATGATCAAATGTTATTGTAGAGTATCATAACTTATTTATTACAGAGTAACATAACTTGTTGTCCAAAATGTTATTATAGAGTAACATAACTTGTTGTCCAAAATGTTATTGTAGAGTAACATAACTTGTTGTCCAAAATGTTATTGTAGAGTAACATAACTTGTTTGTATGAATCATCGAGATAAAGAACTTTTAGTTTTGAAAGTAATGGATTTGAATGTGTCTTGAAAGTGCTATTATTTACCGCTCTGATTGCCTTTTTTTTTGCAAAGATTTGATTTTTTGCAGTTTGAGTTTTTAACCCCTCCCCAAGTAACAATACCATATTCAACATGAGGCTTTTCAAGAGAGTTATAAACTTAAGTAAATGTTTAATGGTAAGATATTTTCAATTTGAGACAAAGCAAAGATTGAGCTAGCAATTTTATTCCAGATATGTTCAATTTGAAAATCCCAGTTTAAAAATTCCTCAAGTTTAAGTCCAACTAACTTGAAATATTTGTTCACACAGTCATTACCAATTCTTTCAAGTATCTCATTTCCTATTAAAATATAACAACAGTTGGGGTCACAGTGCATATTTTTATTCCTCAAGACTATCTAATTTTTTTTGGAGACATTTAGTGTCAAACGATTTGCTTAATAACATTTTGCTGCTTATTGAGTTCTGTTAACAAGATAATTTTTAAATCAGGGGTTGGCCACATTTTTGAAACCATAATGAATTAGTGTTTTTAAAAGTATAACAAAATCACAACAAGCAAAAGCTTTTCATAGATTTTATTCATTAAGCGCAAACGTGGTTGATTTGTGCTATGTTTAGGTCTAAATCCATTTTGGTGCTCGTAAAAGATATTAAACTTATTAAGATATCTGAACATTTGTATTGCAGCAATTTTTTCAAGTAGCTTACTCAAAGCTGGAAGAATACTTATAGGTCTGTAATTATTAAACTTATCTTTTTCGTCTACGTTAAAGATGGGAATAATCAATACATTTAATCAGTTTTTTACTTTTCCATTAAGCTGTGACAATTACAATGACCTATTAAATGGATTGTAAAGGAAAAATGAAACTGGGTATAGGTTGAAACCTGAGAATCTCATGAGTTGAACAATACCTATAAGACATCTATCTGATGTTCCTATCTCGAGAAATTGACATAAAACGGTGTCAAAATTATACCAAAACGTATACATGTGAGATATACGTCCGTATCATGTGACCAGAAGTCCCTTCAATGACAGTGCAGTATACTGGTCACATGATACAGACAGAGACATTTGACAATAATACTGCATCGCCATTGGTTGGAATTCTGGTGACATGTTCTGGACGCATAAATAATATTATCATTTATATCTGAACACAAATGTTGAACAGAAATATTGAACAGAAATTTCAAACAGAAATGGTGTAAACAAATGTTAAACAGAAATGCTGAACACAAATTTTGAATACAAATGTTTGAAAAAAATGTTGAACACAAATCGTAAAAGACAAATGTAGAACACAAATGTTGTAAACAAATATTGAGAACAAATTTTAAACATAAATGTTAAACACAAATGTTAAACATGAATCTTGAACATTAATGTTGAACGCAAATTTTGAAAGCAAACGTTGAACATAATTGTTGAACACAAATGCTGAACACAAATCTTGAACACACATTTTGAACACAAATACTGATCACAAATGTTGAACACATATGATAAGCACAAATGTTAAACACAAATGTTAAACACAAATGTTAATCCCAAATGTTCAAGAAATTTTGAACACAAATGTTAAACACAAATGTTAATCCCAAATGTTCAAGAAATTTTGAACACAAATGTTAAAAAATTGTTGAACACAAATGTTGAACACAAATTTTAGACAAAAATGTTGAACACAAATATTGAACACAAATGTTGAACAGAAATGTTGAACAGAAATGTTGAACAGAAATGTTGAACAGCAATGTTGAACACAAATGTTGAACACAAAAGTTGAACACAAATGTTGACCATCAATGTTGAACACAAATTTAGAAACCAAATGTTGAACACAAATTTTGAACACAAAAGTGGAACACAAATGGTGAACACAAATATCTTTATGATCTGAAGTGACAATGTGTGCGAAGTTCTAGTAGATCTGGTTCTGGTTCCTGATTTTGCTCAGCTCTCACTATATAAAGAAGAATCCTGGGTTTGTCAAATTAGTTCTCTCACAGGAATCAAACAGTAAACATGTTCAAGGTACAGCTCCATCCATCCTATATTTTGAATTAAACCTTGCAGAATCTTTCCAGGTTTTACGAAAAGATTCATGTTTTTAATGTTTTTCAGTTTTTTTAGACCATCATAATATGCAATACTTTAATTATTTGTGCAATTTTTATTATATTAAATTTAATTAAGAAAGAGTTTTTAAAAAAGTTCTCTTTAAAATAGTTCTGTAAAATTATCTAATGATGGAAACCTCTGAAATTTTAAGATTACCTATTTTAAACTTTCATTAAACCAAGCATTCGCATGTTCTGTTATCTGTTAGCAAGGCAATAATGAGTGCATATGCTCCTAGACCAACTTTAATCTTATCTTTACACTTTAGGTTATTCTTGCCTCTGCCCTGGTTGCCGCTGCTGCTGCTGCTGCTCTTCCTGACACCCCTCGCTATGGAGCACCTGCCCCTTATCAGGAGGAGAAGCTGGCCCCTCAGCCCTTTGCCTACCAATATGGAGTAAATGATGACTACAGCAAGGCTAACTTCCAGAAGGAAGAGAACCAGGATGCCTACGGTAATGTTGCTGGATCTTACACCATTGCCCTTCCCGACGGAAGGATCCAGACCACCAGATACACTGCCACCCATGAAGAGGGATTCATCGCTGATGTTTCTTACGAGGGAGTTCCCCAGTACCCCGCAGAGAAGGCTTATGCCCCTAAGGCTGCCCCTGCCTACGCTCCCGCCCCTGCCTATGCCCCTGCCCCTGCCTACCATGCTTAAGAGGATGAAGAAATAGTGAAAATATTTATCTATTTATTTCATCTAATAAAACATTAAATCCTTTAATATTTATGCTTGTGTTTTTGTAATTATCAGTGGGAAGTTCCGTAAACAAACAAAGTATTTTAGAAAAATAAAAGTCAATTAATGGGGTCACCACTTTAGAAGTAAGTAGTTAAACAAGAGGCTGAATTTATAGAATTTGAGGCGAGTCATAAATTTGAGACATGGCTCAAATATGTTTGGTTCCACTAAGAATTGTTTTCAATGTTTTAAGATTTAAGCTGGCACTCAATTGAAACCGATTTCTGGCGATTTTTTAAACAAGGCTCATATTCTTTAAATTCTGACTCATATCTGATATATATTCAGTATAAGTTAGCAAAGATCTATTATGTAGGAGGACTTGTTCTCCAATGCAGGTTGAAGAATTAGTGGAGTTTTTGAATTGATCTCTTTTTCTTGTATTTACTACTACAGTTCGAGGATTACTAGTTTTGATTTAAAGAGACAACCCATCCTCACAATGTTCTTATTTTAAAACAATGGAAAGATGGCTTTAACATTTAAATATTGGTCCTGTCGGAATCAGCCTAAACTAACTTACCTTCATATGTAAACAACAAAAAAGTGGAAAACAATTCAGCCGAGTAAAAAAGTGGTTTGCAGTTTTATTTTTATTTTTTAAAGTTGTTACTTTTAATTATTTGAACTTAGAGATGCAACAAAAACATATGTATATATCAAATAAAAATGAGTTACATTTTTAAATCTATTAAAATGACTGTTACTCCAGTTAATCTTAGGAAAAGATATCAAATTCATCAGATCCATCTTATTTATACAAATTCTGGATATAAACAGACACAAAAATTTCTGGTTCGTAAAAATAAATTTAGAAATTTTCTTAAAAAGATACTTATCAATCTTTTTATCTTTTGTATTCACTTTTCTTTAAGCTTGATGAATTTAGCTTATGATATTTCTGCTTACTTTGGCAATTGGAACAAATTTGAACTGTGCTTAAAAATATGCAGATATACACCTGAGCAGTTTTTGATATAAAAATATGTGTACTTGAAGCCACTTAAATATTCTGAAAATCAAGGATGAATTGAACCAGAAATATGCAGATATAAATCTGATGAACCAAAAAGTATGGATTATCTAATCAATCTAATTTCTTACTCACAGAAATATAAATATCACTCATAAAGTATTCTAAACTTGTAAATATATTTTGATTGAATGCACTGACCGCTACACCGGTCAGACCGATAGTAATATCTTTAGGCTAAATGGTAATTATGTGAAAAACTTTGTATTTGTAACATCAGGTTGAGAAGATAGAGGCGCTCGTGTTTGTTTGTACACAAAGTTTATCTAGTTTATTACATATACATAAGTTTGTAAGTCTGTCAAACTGTTTTGTTAAATAGCACAAGGCTCTTAGAAAACATCATGTTTTCTATTATTCAGAAATGAACAAATAAACTTTAAATAGAATAACTGAATCTAAAAGAAGTTTACTGAAAACAATAAATGCTTTACCAGTGAGAAATAGCAAGGTCAAGACCATTTAAAAAATATGTAATTTAAAGACTAAAATTTACAAATTTTTGTTATTTAACATAAAGGGCATAAAAACCTAGTTTGAAGCCGAATTTTTAAGCAATAAGTATATCTTCTTATCTATTTATAAGAGATGCATAGAACATTTTGAAGGCATTATTATTGCTATTATTATTATTATTATTATTAATATTATTAGTATTATTAATATTATTATTATTATTATTATCATTAGTTATTTCAAACTGTAATTCATTAAGAATTACTTTTTTTTGTGATTTTGTTATTTTCTATGTCTGTTATGCGTTTTAATAAATAAAAACATTTGTTTACCACTGCACTGCACACTTTTAAAAAGAATAGTAAATTTTGTAAGGATTTTATGTTTTATTAGATGAAATAAATAGATAAATATTTTCACTATTTCTTCATCCTCTTAAGCATGGTAGGCAGGGGCAGGGGCATAGGCAGGGGCGGGAGCGTAGGCAGGGGCAGCCTTAGGGGCATAAGCCTTCTCTGCGGGGTACTGGGGAACTCCCTCGTAAGAAACATCAGCGATGAATCCATCTTCATGGGTGGCAGTGTATCTGGTGGTCTGGATCCTTCCGTCGGGAAGGGCAATGGTGTAAGATCCAGCAACATTACCGTAGGCATCCTGGTTCTCTTCCTTCTGGAAGTTAGCCTTGCTGTAGTCATCATTTACTCCATATTGGTAGGCAAAGGGCTGAGGGGCCAGCTTCTCCTCCTGATAAGGGGCAGGTGCTCCATAGCCAGGGTTGGCAGGGATAGCAGCAACAGCAGCAACCAGGGCAGAGGCAAGAATAACCTGAAAGTAAAGCTCATCAGTAATGATTATTGACATGTGGCCGGTCCTTAATAAGTTTTGTTGTTTAGTAGGTTTTTAATATTTTTGGTCTGAAAGGGCTAAACACTTTGTAAATCTTTGACTTTTCAAACTTTAATTTTTTGATCTATTGGAATTCATAGTTTGAGAAATATAAGCCTACAAAGATATACTAATTAAAAAAACTTTTTGCTGTAAACCTAGTAAAAGCTGTAATGATTTTTATCTTTTATATTCTTTTCATTAAAAATAGATTTTTTTTAGCCTTTTAGATTTTTTTTACAATTGCACAAATGTCAATCAAGTGTACATTTCTGGAATATACAAGTGAAAACTCTTTTAAATATTTTAACAAATATAAAAATAAAAAAAACGAATTTTTCTACTGTTAATATGTTATCACTGTCAATGTTGAACACTATTTCAAATATCACTTTTTGTTGATTTTGGATATAAAGATCATATGAAGGTATTGAAAGGAGCAATAGAAGCATGATTTAAAACATTGTATTATGTGTTACTTGGTTATTGTTTACATGATATACTTATTTCTGATGTACATCTGTATACGTAAATTTTTGTTAAATAGAAACATTTATGTAAACATTGCAGGTACAAAATTAAACATTATAAAAGTTAAAGAAGTTAACTGTATGCTGTACCTTGAACATGTTTACTGTTTGATTCCTGTGAAAGAACTGACTAAAATAACCCAGCACTCTCCTTTATATAGTGACAGGGAATCTAAACCACTACGGTTAGTTCAGAATTTAACCCAATTCCAAGGGTTTTTGGAGTACTATAAAGAAAGTACATTAAGTACTAAAAATGCTATTTTATGCCAAACATTCCAAAATTTATAAATATGCCAACTTAAAATAATAAAGGAATTGAGTCTTTACCACAAACTATCTTTGCAGCCAAATGTTGTAGACCTTTAATATTTTAAACTATCAATTCTGCTTGAGCTTATTATCTAAGTTTGAAATATTTAAGATGTACACCATCAGGCTCGATAGATATAGGGATTGGAAAATTTGAGTTTGTGGTAAAGACTCAAATCCTTGGGTTAATTTCTAATTTAAAATTCGGTGATGGTGATGGACCAAACCTCTGTAGAGTAAAAAATAGATATTAGTTCCACAATTTATTGAAAATATATTTCTGTCTGGGTTGACCCTTGTCAGTTCTTGAGATTGTTTTTGTCATGAAGATTAAAAACAATTAAAATTTGCTTCAATCTTTAAACAGGCTAGGTAGGGGGAAATTTGAACCCCTCTCCCCCCCCCCCTCCTTAGTTTTCAAGACTATCACTGCAGTCACCTTAAAAAGTCTTAAACTTTAAAATAAGTAATACAAAAAACATATTTTGTTTAATGCAATAGGTAGGGTACAGGATGAAAAGCTGCAGATGGTGTTAAAGAAATCTAAAATAAACGAAATGTATTGTTATTAGAGCTACACATCTTAAAACATATTTGAAAAGTCCTTGAAAATTCAATAAAATCATGTGACACATCTGTGTCTACATTTTTTTTGAATTTTTTCACGCTTCCAATCCTTTTTTCGATTTTTTAAAACCTTCCTAGCACCCTAACCATAGAATTAATCGGTGTAATTCCAACCCCACCCCCCCCTTTCTATTCAAAGATTTAGACCCCCTCTCTTCCCGGACTTTATAGGGTCAATGCCTGCCTGGCGCAATGCAAATACTTTGCAGGAAGATCTTAGAATCTTTATTGTGTTTTTAAAATATTTTTTGCCTTATAAAAGAACTGAGTTGTTGCCAGAATACCCAAATTGTCTACTCTCTTTATATTTGGAACCCAACATTGCAAAGGCGGCTTAATATGTATGAATAACTTTTTTTGACAATTTGACAATAATTTACATATACTGTTGCTGAGTATAAACGAAAATATGTATGAATAACAAGAGTCCAAATTATGAATAAAATAATTTAAATACTTCCATGCAAGTACAGTTTAAGTTTTATATTTTGCATAATGTGCTTTCCAAAAATGTTTATTTAACAATTCCGGATTTTTTGCCTAAGTTTTTCAAGGCATTTTTGCCATATTTCACTAGAATTATAAATAGATATCTATGCGCTTTGGCATTTTTTAAAGGTCCCATGCTTTGGCAAACCAAATCTCTATTTTGACCCACTTCCAATTATTGGATTTTAATGGTTCTAGCTTTGTGGAAAGCGTATGGCAGGGATGAGCAGTTTAAATAATCTCTGCATGTTTGGGTACATTTTTCAAGCCCTCCTTCAATGTAAATTCTCAAAGTTCTTAGTTTTTGAACTACAGGGTTATCCACAAAGAATGAGACTTCAGAGAAGACTTTACGGAATATAAACTGTTTGTTTCCCTTTATTCATGATTCCCTGTAACTGATGTTGTGACAAAACGAATAGTTTTACTAATTACTTATTAAATCATTAATTCAGTGAAATGGGTCTGTTAAAACTGCCCAATTGATGTGTCTCGTGCTCATTGGACCTTGAGTACCTTGACTCTAAACGCCGCCTTTCTATTTTTCTGGTTATAACCGTGTGTATTTAATTGTATAAAAGAGAATTCCTGTGTTCATAAAATAATCGCTTTGTAGCAATTTTGCTATATACACCTATAGAAATCGTAGGTTTTGCTATACGATATAACATAAATATCATTTATCATATTATGGGAGAATTTATAAGATTAAAGAGGAGTGGAATAATTTGAAAAATCAGCATTTGTTAAATCTTCTGTAAACATATTGTTTAAACAGAATTCAAGGTTTATAATTTTTCTTTCAAACTGACTTTGCCATAGATATATGTGGAGACACTAGACAGTTTTATGATTATAAAAATAAAACTAGGAAGTGTATTATTTTTAGACTTTTGTCTAGATAGTTTATAGTTTTCCTTAAGTTAATGTGCCAATGAGAACTTACCCAATCGGAAAATCTGATAAATAAAGCAGATATCGACAAAGTTTTATTTTGTTCACTTAGTAAACAATAACTTAAGATTCTGTAGTATTCCCTGAGTGAAATTATGATAAAGATGATTTTACAACCCCCCCCCCCCCCTAGATTAAAAACAATTTGAAAATAAAAATCAAACTTGGGAGAAGTTGTAAGTAGAAACCTTTTAATTAAAATATTTTAACTCTCAGAGGATATTTTCAACAATATCATACAGTGTCTATTTCTAAAAATGTTTTCTTGAGACTTTGAACTTTGTAGTTGTATTGTTTTGGTCAAAGATAAGGGAAGCAAATGTTTTTTTTAAATGTTATTTTTACATTTTCTGAGAGTAACAGAAACCAATAGACATCCCCCCTCCCAGCTCACCTTTTCTCATCTTAGCTTTTAATGATTCGGAAAATCTACGAAACCATTACTTTCAATATTAAATGTCTTCAACAGAAATTACCAAATTTCTTGCTTTTCTTAAAGGTTATCATTTGCCGATGTAGCGGGTCTAATTCTACCCTTCCTTCAGTTCCATCATAAGTCCTGATTGTCATTTGACTAAACAGATTTAATTCAAATTAAAGGAATTGAGTTTTTGCCACAAACTCAAATCTTCTGATCCAAATATCTTTGCAACCTGATGGTGCAAACCTTTTATATTTTAAACTTAGATTAATTTATCTATAAGTATAAATAGTTTGAAAAATCTAAGGTCTACGGCATTGGGTTACAAAGATATAGAGATTAGAAAATCAGAGTTTGTGGCAAAAACTCAACTCCTTTGTCATTAAGCGTGGAATTAGAGTAAATCATAAATGAGATTCTTAAAAGATTATGACATGTTTTAAGACTACAGGATATCATCTAAAGCACGCTTTAGATGATATCCTTTTTTTCAGAAACCTTTGGCTGAGCTGAGATTTAACTATCATTTTTTAAGAAAAAAAAAACGAGCAAATTTATTTAACTATGAAGGCGTTAAGCTCATCATGAACAAGTTAAGCTATTTCCTACATATTTCACCGGCTTATGTAAACGTTAAAAACGGGTTAAGTACACTACGTTATTCAAAAGTTTCCAACCTAATTGTTTCAAGTTAAAAAAAGCATGACTGAGTATAAATTTACTAGACCGAACAATTATTCCTAGTTCAATGTTTATATTTAAAGGTTAAACAAATAAAATAGTCACTCACACAAATAAGTACTGCAACATTACTGGGGGGGGGGGGGCTCTCTGATTCATTGGGACATTTTTTTAATCCCTCAAAAATTGCAACAACAAGAAATTAAAAATTTTAGTTCTGAGTTTTCATAAATGAAATTATTATTTGTAAAATTATTGACTAAAAGTCATATAGTTTGCATAACTTATTATTTCACATTTTTTTGTCAGTATAGCTAAATCCTATATTTTTGCAACCCGTTGTCGTATACATTAGATTATTCTAACTTCAACTTCAACGACTTAATTCCTTTTTACTTGAAGTGGAATTAAAAGTCTCCAAAATTAAAAAAAATATCTATACATATTTACTTATATAGTCTCACAATAAATAACTTCTTAAAAAAATATCCTTAACAGATATTGAGCCTTTGCCACAAACTCAAATTTCCTAATTCCTATATCTGTGCAGCCTGATAGTGTAAACCTTTGATATTAAAAAAAGCCCATAAAAAAACTTATATTTTCCAAAACGAACTTACATTTAACTGTACAATTCTTTACATATATATTACAGATTATAATTGAATCTTTCTCATCTTTTAATCTTTAAATCTTTATAAATCTTTACTTTTCAAAAATTTTCATTTTACATCACATAAATATATATTTTTTAGCATCACAATATATCAACATAAAAAGAGGAAAAATTTAATACTGTGTTTGGACTTAATTCTGTACTATTGAGCATTTTCTTACAAAAATTAATTTACTTTGATTCTAAAGTAGTTTTTATGGACATGTCATAAAAATAGATGTTTAGTTTCAGCAACAATATTTTTAGGGGGTTTAAGATTATGAATAAAAAAGTAAATATTTTAAACTCTATTTGATGTATCTTATGTTTCTGTAAAAAAAGTTGAATCTTTCTTTTTTCACGGAAAGGGACTGTAAGCGCAAATTCAAGTGACCCTCCATGCATTTATTCACAACGCTCCCTTTAAAATCTTTGTCTAATCAAGTATGAATTGGATTTCATTGGGCCTGAAGTACGTTCTTTTTTTTAAGAGGACCAAATTACTTTGCAGAACTCAACAAAATAATAATTAAAATTTTTTTTTCAGAATACCCCCATTTATAATTTGTTCGTAAAACAATATTTAATTTTAGATTTAATTGATCTTTACATTATTCGAAGATAAAGAATGGGATCTTTAATCTAGATATTCACAATGACAACTTTTAAAGGAATCTTTGCCACAAACTCAAATTTCCTGATTCCTTATATTTGCCGGACATCAGAGTTTGTGATATAAGTTATTTAAGTTATTCATGTAGAGTATGATCATTGATCACCACGGGATACCCAAGAGGAATTTAATCAAAACCTAAAGATCAACACTAGATGGAGATCTATGCTTGATCCCTAAAATGATAACACAAAATTAAAAAATAAAATTAAGCTAGAACAGAACCGTTATGTTTATTGCAAAAAATGCAGAAAAAGAAAACTTGAAGAACGATTTGTACATTATGGAATTTGTGTTTTCAAAAAAAATATATTTTCGAGGATTATTTTATAATACTTGGTGAAGAATAGGTTTAATATAAACCATGCACTACTGTTGACTATAAAAAATCTTCAGAGCTGAAAACTTTAAAGTTGAATAATTTTAAGCCCGATTGCTTAATCTCAATATCCAATGTGGACACTTTTAATTTCCCAGCTTCTCTGATTAGCTAATCCGGTTTCTCCCAACGCCACTCGATTGGTTAAGTTTTATAAACTTTTGTGGATACAAACTTAAGATTATATTAATTTTGAGACTAACAAAAAGAGAAGATCAGGCTTGATCTCGATATCACCAATTCTAAAGTTTTCAGCTCAAACCCAAAAAGAAGAACTAATTAAACTAATTCTTTGACTGAAAGCTGCCAATTAGATTTTAATATTTTTAACACAACAAATTTTATTTGCAAAAAGTATAGTTTAAAGTAAAAGAAAAAGTTTTTTTAAAAATTTAAATTATAACTTAAAAACAAAAGCAATTGAGTCTATGCCACAAACTCAAATTGTCTAAGCCCTATATTTACAGGGACTCAATTCCTTTTCAGAACATTTTACTCACTTATAAGCTTATATTATGTTCTAAGTACAAGGTATTAAACAACATTTAAATTTTGAGTTCGGTTAGAAATTTTTTTTGCTATTTCTTGTCTTGCAGAATGCCTATAGCCATCTAAATTGCTCAAGAAAATAGAAAATTGAAAAATAGTTTTTGTTTTCTCGTTTTCGAAAACTGGCATTGATAGTATAGTTTGGTATAGTACAATATATATATTTATTGGATTTATATTATTTTAGTGTACATTTTGATATTCCAGCTTCTTTAGTATCTTGCTAATCCATCCTCTTTGTTTATAAATATCGGAGAGCAATCTACAACAAAAAAATCTTGGTTATTTAATTTTAAAGCTCTTTCAGTTTTTGATCTTGATAGATAAGCTTTCATGATAATAGTAATAAAATAAAATAAATTTGTTGAACATTCTACTCACGTATTTAACCCTATTTACCTGGGTTTGAGGGTGGGCTGATTTTGGTGTTTAGCCCTATTTACCTGGGTTAGAGAGTGGGCTGATTTTTGTGTTTAGCCCTATTTACCTGGGTTTGAGGGTGGGCTGATTTTTGTGTTTAGCCCTATTTACCTGGGTTTGAGAGTGGGCTGATTTTTGTGTTTAGCCCTATTTACCTGGGTTTGAGGGTGGGCTGATAATGAGCACTGTACTGGAGTTCCTTCTCCGCTGATTGGCTATAGGATATGTTCTCTCCTAAATATTTTTATGATTAAATTTGCTTTCAATCTTGTTTTTAGCTTAGTCATTTATTTAAGTATTGAACACTCATTATTTTTTATCTAAAAACAAGCTTAGTAACTTTTTTCTCTAATTCTGAAAAATCAATGTAAATTTTACCGTTTCAGTTGGTAGAAGTGAAGATCTCCTATAATAAGCAACAAGAAAAGGCTTTGAAAACAATATAAAAGGCTGTTGCAATATTAATGGTCCTTATTATTGTAATGATAATTAAAAGGTTTTTATTAACTAGAAAACAATTAAAGGATTGTACATTTTTAATTTTGTTCTGCTTTCCTTTGTTTATGTCTCCGTGCTAGAAAAGCTAGGTTTCCATCCTCTTTAACATCCAAACTGTTAGACGGGGTTCCGCTTATCCGCGGCAGGGTTCCGCTAACCTTTGGAGGATTTTTCTTGTACAACTTGAGATCGGTAGAATTAAGGGGCTGGTTAGCTAGCTTTTGGTTCTCAGAGGATCTAGAAAATGGAAGAAATGTTAAAAATCTAAACATCTTTTTGTAATTTTGACCCATTCCCCTAGGGTTACAATATTTTTTAAAACCTTTTTTTGTTGGCTATTGTTTAAATAAAAGTTTTCTAAAAGGTACACTTAGTTCTTTTGTTGCGAACTTTCCGATTTATTTAATACTGATCTCAAGGACAAATCTTAATTTTCAAATGTTCTTTCTTTCATAATCGGCCATTTGATAAAATTTTAAATTTATAAATCTAAAACGTATAACATTTTTGGAAATTCTAGATCTAATTAGTTGGGCGAAAAATATCAAATTTACAGAAATATCAAAAGAATGTTATGGAATAAAAAGATATTGCAATGACTTTTCTTATGTGCATTGTTCAACATGTCTTTAATCGACATGCAATTCTAAAAATAGCGGGTCACTTGAAATTACTAAACAGTGACACAGCCCTTATAAAACATTCAGGATTCACTAGAAACTAAGATGTGTACGCTTTTACGCAAAAATAAACCAGTATTTTGCAAATTACTCCTTTTAAACTTAAGCTAGAAATAGACGCGACTCTTTTGACGAATTGGTGAGATAAACCTGAGACGTTGCAACACTCTTAAGTCGAGGCTGTCTAACATTTAGATGACTGAAGTCGAGGCTGTCTAACATTTAGATGACTTAAGTCGAGGCTGTCTAACATTTAGATGACTGATGTCGAGGCTGTCTAACATTTAGATGACTTATGTCGAG